ACACCGGTATCACCGTCAACACCGTCTATCGCGGCAAGCCTAATTATTACCCTGTGACTCATATTATTTTTGTGTTGCTGTCTGCTCTAGCTCCCTCCCTCCCTCCCATACAATAAATCCATGTGAATATCGGTCTCTGCTAAATTTTTTAATGTAACTTTACAATATTGATGTCCACTCAACTAGGTTAATAAAGACAAAACTATAGCCTATTTACAGATGAAACTGACCTGCACTTGAAGCCCTGAACAGGTCAGTGATGTTGCTACATTTCACTGCTTATTCTGGCCACTTCCTCTCCTTCATCGAGTCCCGCGCATCGGTTCTGTTCAGAACTGTTTGACGGGAAGAGTGGAACAGACGTGAGCTGATTCGTATAGTATAGTGCAGTGCTGTCAGTCAAGACTAACCGATTTATGATTTATTATCAAATGACAAAAACGGAATGAGCACTTTGGTACATTAAGAAGGCATAAAATATTAATAATAATAATAATAATAACTTAAAAAAAAAAAAAACAGGGCAGCGGGCCAAATCAGCCGCCAGGCCACCGGGAATTCTCCCGGTGCTCCCGATGGCCAGTCCGGGCCTGGTAAAATCAGGCGTGTTAGGTGAGGGAGACATACTAAATGTGTAGTGCTGGGGGTCCTCCAGGGCAGGTTTGTAAACCCCTGGTCTATCACATACGCTGTGCTACTGTTTGCCTGAAAACCGAGGGTGAACTGATGGAGTACTCTGACAATACTGGTCTACATTCACAAATCATTTTTTGATGGGGCTCTTTCCACCTTCATAAAAAATCCAGTTGTTTGTGGCTCACTCTGGATCTGGTCTCAATTCATAATCTATTTTGGGCAGAAGTATTCTCAGCTGCTTTTGTATTTGTGCATTATCCCAGCTCTTCATTTGGCAATCACAGCGACTGTTTACCCTATAAACCACAAACTGGTATTTTTAGTGTTGTGGCACCAACCCAGTCTGACAATGAGCACATTGAGAACTGGCTTCCTTTCAATTAATGAGTTCAACAGACACACAACCAAGGAAATTAATTAGTATGGCACAAGTTTTGACAAAACATAATTATATAATTAATTGGTCTATCCATCTAGCTTTTTATGCAATACAGGTTTGTTAATAAAAAATATTGATACCTGGCTAGTGTTACACTACTTGAAGAAATCATTTTACAAATGTCTGCCAGTCACTGCATACTACACTGAGATGTGACAAAGTATTTTAAAGGGGTGGTTCAGTGGTTTTTTTCTAGGCTTGATTGTGTTTATGGGGTGCAGTCTAACATGTTAATGCTTCGTTTTTTTTAAAAAACGCATTATTTTTCACATAATTTACCTCAAAGTATTTTAAAGGGGTGGTTCAGTGGTTTTTTTCTAGGCTTGATTGTGTTTATGGGGTGCAGTCTAACATGTTAATGCTTCGTTTTTTTTAAAAAACGCATTATTTTTCACATAATTTACCTTTATTCCACACTGCTCTGTCCCTTCTCTGAGAAACAGGCTGATCAATTTCCTGCTTTTATGAAGCCCCTCCCTTAGAAATAGGTGATGGACTCTGATTGGTTAGCTAGCCCAGTGTGTTGTGATTAGCTAAACCACCTCTAGTGCACGTCTAAATGTCCCGCCCCTCTCCTCAGCGGCATGTGCTCCGGTTGTATTGTAAACAAAGGTGTCGTTAATATCGCTTATCAGTTTGAGCCCGATTGAGAAGCAGAGGATATTATTGAAGAGGATTGTGCAGAACCTGTGCAAGCACTGCTTTTAATGGTAGGCCTATGTTTTTTGTTTGTTGTTGTCTCATACTTCATAGAACATTGATTTTGAAACTTCGTTTTTGTAGGCATTAAACTGCCAGAATTTTAAAAGACGATATCTCCGTTTGCATTGAACTTTCAGTTTCGTAACTTTACAGATATTGTTTATGCTCAAACAGCAACATTACACACTAACTAACGTTAAAAAAGTGAAATCGCAATCAACCACCCCTTTAATTCCGGCACATCCCTCTCCCCCCGCTTAACATATTTAAGAAAAACAGATTTTTGTCTGTTGCTGCCAATTTTCATTGTTGTTATAGGCCAAATATCTATTCATGAGTTGGCATTAAATCAGGTCATATGACTTGAGTTGGCTGCTCTGAACGCAACACTCTGCAGTCAGAGAGGGAGAATGAGCATCATGCTGTTAGCAGAACAGCATTTAGAGCAGTTAGTCACCTGATGTCTCTCCTTTCATCCTCAGGTCCCTTAACATTCAACAGCTCCACCCCCTCCAAGCCCACAGATGGTGATGTCACCTCTAATGGCTCCGCCTCCAGCAGTAAAGAATACAACCGGCAGCTCACCGCATTAAACTGCTCTGTGCGTGACTGGATCACCAAGCATGTCAATGATAACCCCCTGTGCGACCTCAATCCCATCTTTCGTGACTACGAGCGACATCTGGCCAGCATTGAGAAGAAATATGGCAGCGGTGCATCAGAAAGTGGGGCGGATGGCTTGTCATTTGGAGGGGAGCAGAAGCAGCTTCTGACGAGCGGAACAGTAGCTTCTGTTTCCGGCACGGGTGCTACTGTGACTGTGTCTGTCAGCGGTGCAGCGCCACAGCTCTTCTCATTCAAAGATAAGGATGGTGCTGCAGCAGACAAACCAGCAGCCGTGGCTCCTCCAGGCGTCTCCTTTAATTTCGGCCAGAAGGTGGACAGCTCTGTGCTTGGTGCACTTGCATCCAGTGGAGCACCGTCTTTCTCGTTTTCTTCCTCTTCCTCCTCTTCAGGCGTGCATATGTTTGGAACAGCGGTCAGTAGTGTCAGTCCTGCGGTGTCATCCTCTCTGAAGGCAGCCAGCAACAGCCAGACTGCAGGTACTTGAGCAGCACATGCAGAGTGTGTTCACTTATTCACTAATACAGCAAACACACTGATTCACATTCACAGTTCAGTTTCTCACTGTATAATTGTGAGTGGTGTCATTTAGTTTGTATTTAAAGGCAGTTTCATTTCAGTCTAATGTGTTTATTATGTCTAGTGTTTATTGTTACTGTATTTTCCTAGATATATTAATCGTTATGGGGATGTTCTGTGTAACGGTCAAAACACGGTACATTTAAGTTTAAATGTGGGAGAAAATAATTTATTCTCTCAGTAGAGATGCTATAGAAATGTAATTTCATTAATGTTCAGAACATGATTTTTTCATTCACCAAAAAAAAAAAAAAAAATGTTTAAACAATAATTTAGGCTGCAATTAACAACTATTTTGATAATTGATTAGTCAAATTTGACTTTGTTTTGGGGCAAAATTGTTTTAAATAACAATATTTGAATAGCGTAATTTTAAAGTCTGCGTGAACCGGAAGCTGCTGCCGACTTTCAGTATACTGATGTATTTCCAACTGAAACAGAATATTGAATAGATATGCGCTCCTCATCTCTCACAGCAAACTAACGGTTAGAGGGGCGTGGTTAAGCATATTCTTCCCAAGCCATTGCCCTAGCCGTCAAACTGATGTCACCAGAGAAGGAATGCCATTCCAGAGCAGAAGCAAATGTTCAGATTTTGATTAAAGATTACCAAGACAAACTATTTTTTTTCAGTGGATTAACTTGTATATTGGTACGTTGTTCACCTCAAGATTAGCAATGTGCGCTTACAAAATGAATTTTGTAAATTTTGATTTCATGCAGACTTTAAATTCCCCAGTATTGCACATTTTACTTTTTAAACAAAATGTACAGATTGAAAGTTGTAAAAAAAAAACAAATGTACCGCATTCTACAGCAACTTCAGCATTTATTGTGTGCAAAAATATGGCTAAATCTTGTATGATACTCATGAATGTTCTAATTGATAATGAAATTGCATGTGGGCTATTCTCAGGAGTCCGACTCTCTAACCATTAGGCCACGACTTCCCCACATTATCAACATTTATCAACTAAAACTTGCAGATGATGCATAGTTTAACATGATGCTCACACAGAACTAACATTTATAACGATTATTTTGGATTATTGCACAAATGTTTAGTTTTTTTTCTCAAATGTACTGTTCCTTCTGTTTTAGATGAAAATGGGGAGCAATCAGAGGAGCCGCCCGTTCCTGTGGTAAAAGAGATCAAGGAGAAAGACGCCTTCTACTCCAAAAAGTACACATCATGTCCTGTCATTCAATCTTTAAACGCATCATCTACTTCTCTCATAAGTTATATTTCAAAATGATCTTTCCGCAGGTGTAAGTTGTTTTATAAGAAGGACGGAGAGTTTAAGGAGAAAGGGGTCGGAACACTGCATCTGAAGATGGTGGCTGAGAGCAAACTTCAGCTTTTAGTGCGAGCCGACACCAACCTGGGTAAGTGTCTGCATCTGTGTCATCAGTGAACTGAATCCCAATACAAATTTATCTTGTAAGAAACTTTTTCAGGCTGATATTGACAACAATAATCAAGCTCTGTGTTAATTAAAATGTAAATTGTGAGATATAAAGTCAGTCACAAGAAGTAATCACAGTTATCACTGCCATTTTATCTCCGAGTGTGAGAAATAAAGTTGCAGTTATTAGATATAAGGCACATGGCGTGTATGATTAATAGAGATCAAATTATTAGACGAGATCTTGGATCCTCCTGCTTGGCATTTCATGAAATGCAGTCAACTAGTTTGTAGTTAACCTAGCAGCGTAATGATGGCATTGTCAGTCAACACAAAGTTGTGAAGTTGTCATTAAAGGTCCCATATTGTCAAAACTGAAATTTCCTGGCTTTTTTCATGATAACGCCCACAGTCCCACTATCCTTTTGCCAAACCCCCAGACAACATCGCCTCCATGCTATTGCCGAGCAACGACAACACGGAAACATGTCGAAAAGGTTAACTTTAACCACGAAACCAGATCGGCCGACCTGTAACGTTGCACTCTCACTCAAAGGATGGACGATCTGACAGGATTGTTACTACGAGGTGGATCACATTTAACATGTAAAGACAAACTCACCGTGTCTATCTAGTCATGATGAAGGTGTATATACATTTCAATTTCAGCAGGCAACTATTTTTACAGCTACATTATTGTTCCAGCCACAATTAATCACAATAATGTATATACAATTACAAATGATTATATATAAATCGTCAAGTTTGTTGTTTTATACACATGCACGCAGACATTATTTCATACACAACAACAACAGGCCAATCAGAAGAGAGGCTCATGAATATTAATTAGACGGGCCAAAATCGACCTGTTCTCAGCAGAGCTCCTGAGAAAGGAGCTGTAAAAATATATTGAGATGGTTTTTGGTACTTATACCGCAAATATATATTCTTAAGGACATCAAAACCTAAAATAAAACTCCAGAAAGGTGTAAAATATGGGACCTTCAAAGCACACCCTAAACCTCATTCTAATATGCTGATTTGGTGCTGAAGAAACATTTTTATTATCAATGTTGAAAACAGTTTTTGCTGTTAGGGCCGTCGCGATAACCGCAATATTGTAAAACCGTATTGTGAGCGACCGCCACAACGTCGATGTTCACGCTTTTTTCTTTTTCATGCACTATGCCCTTTATTTTACACTTAATGCACATGTAATGAATGCTCAATAAGCTACAGTTTTTCTGAATTGCTAAAACACATTTCTTGAAACCATCACTCATTTTCTCAAAACCTTAAACACAAATCCAAATACTCAAACTAAATTCACGAAACCTCTGACTCTTCCATCAAAATCAAACAATCACTGCAAAACCATTTCACTTGCACTCAAAATCAACCGGTGCTCTCAGATCACACACACATGAGTCAATAAAATAAACACTACAGAGCATTCATTAGACACTACAGAGAAAAATGGAAAACACAGCATCCAGAACATTACCAGAAAAAAGTATATTGTATTGAGTAAACAATTTTACAATTCTGTAAAAAACCATAGTAATTGCAACTGAGTAAGGTGAATATATTGTATAGGCCTACTGTATGTACTGCAAGAACAGTATTGTGCTGAATATTGTATAGTACTGAATGTTTGTATATATTCAGCACTTGGATGCTGCAAAAATACTGCAGTCCAACTGCAAAGGCTAAAAATGTCAAATAAAACTCTAAATGAATAGCATGTTACAGTACACTCCTTCCTCCTCTCCTTCTCAGATTGTTTCCATCTATTGTTCGTATCATCATTCAGTCACCTGTGCCACTTGTGCACTCTGAACTGACTCCTATTTTGTAGGGCTGGTCCGAATACCATTTTTTGAGCTTCGAAGCTTCGGTAGTAATCAACACCGAATATTCGAAGCTTCGGAGGGAGGGGGCTGAACATATTCCTCTCTCTAACACCGTGTCTACATTGAACGCGAACGGCTCGGTGCGACAAAATACTATAGAACTCATTATAATCAGTGATGCGGTCTACACTGGATGCGGCGCGACACATCATCGTGAATCACACAACAAATTCCCGACAGAAAACTGCTGCTGCGTTCTATTTATGACGTATTGGCACAAATTTCAAATGATTTTCAACGGTCGCTTTTTCGCATCCAGTGTAGACAGACTTCAGCTGTTGCGGCGCGGCAACTGTCGCATCCGGTGTAGACACGGTGTAATAAAGGCAGGAATCTCTGTGTCTGTCTGTCTGTTTACATTTTTATTATGTCAAGAACCATTCATCCAATCGACTTCACGCATGGCGGGTGTGTGGCTGCGGACCCAAGGGAGTGCAGTGTCGTATTTTGGTGCAATATGGACACGCAACACGTTCAGAATTGATAAACGTAATAAACTACAGAACAGCGCGATCCGGAAGCGGCGCGCATGCAGGGCTTACATGCTCCGAGAACGGACACTGCACTAGTGATACAAAACACACGGGTCTGTTAAGAGCACTACTTTTAATATAGACAAATTATTATTAGGCTGGGCTACTGTAGGTTTTTTTACTTGTCCTCACTCAATTTAAAGTGCTCCCACACAACTGAGGTCTTTGGCATTTTTGTCTTCTCTTCCAGATGAACTGAATCATGACGTTCATGACGTTCACTCGTGGGCGATTCATATTCAAGCGCGAATGAGAACCGTTTCGCGGGGGATGGCAGGTGTTCGAGAAAAAAAAAGAAGGAATATTCGAATCTCAAAATTGAAAATCGAATGTCAACCCACCGAACGAATATTTGAATAATCGAATATTCTGGTCCAGCCCTAATATTTTGTACAGTTGGTTTGATCACATCATTAGAAACAAGTGTGAACAATTTTGAATCGTGTGTAAACGATGACAACTGTGCTTTAGTTGTGTTTAACTTTTGCCGCTTGTGTTTAGCATTTTGCAGCACAAATGCATCACAGTATGATAAGTGTTTAAGTGAATGAGAATGTGTTTAGAGTTTTACAAAAAGAGTGCATGAGATTTGCAAATAGAGCCTAACTGCCTGAACGTGTTTTAAGGTTTAGCAGAAAGAGTGCTTTATTTAACTGAGGTCTTTGGCATTTTTGTCTTCTCTTCCAGATGAACTGAATCATGACGTTCATGACGTTCACTCGTGGGCGATTCATATTCAAGCGCGAATGAGAACCGTTTCGCGGGGGATGGCAGGTGTTCGAGAAAAAAAAAGAAGGAATATTCGAATCTCAAAATTGAAAATCGAATGTCAACCCACCGAACGAATATTTGAATAATCGAATATTCTGGTCCAGCCCTAATATTTTGTACAGTTGGTTTGATCACATCATTAGAAACAAGTGTGAACAATTTTGAATCGTGTGTAAACGATGACAACTGTGCTTTAGTTGTGTTTAACTTTTGCCGCTTGTGTTTAGCATTTTGCAGCACAAATGCATCACAGTATGATAAGTGTTTAAGTGAATGAGAATGTGTTTAGAGTTTTACAAAAAGAGTGCATGAGATTTGCAAATAGAGCCTAACTGCCTGAACGTGTTTTAAGGTTTAGCAGAAAGAGTGCTTTATTTGACGAATTGGTTTAAGCTAGTGAGAATTTGGTTCAGAGATTGGGGTTTAGTGTTTTAGCAATTCAGAAAAACTGTAATATCATAACAAGTGAAGAGAGTAATGTTTTTACACCAACTGGCTAATTTTTAGGTCATTAAGACTCTGTGTAACATTGTGATTTGTACATGGGTTCTGTAGATTTGCAATAAACAGACAGAAAGAGAGCGAGAGAGAGAGAGATGGACTGAGCATGCACGATTATCTGCGTCTGTCCTTAAGGTCAAGTCATTTGTTTCTGGACAAAATCAGTTTCCCATCAGTTGTCAGAAGATGAAAGCGATATCTTTGTCATAGCATGCTTTCAGCATTTAAGGGGATTTCCCATGACTGTGGCAGCGCTGTTCAGTGCATTGAATCAATGGCATTGTTCTCTATGAAGTGACACATCAGCTTCAGCATTAACCAGGTAATGTGTTGATCGTCGATTGAGCCTTGTAAAGTGGCTTTCAAAGTTAAATTAATTTAAACACCGTTTCATTCATGAATGAAGCATTTTTAAATATATTAGTTAACTCACTCGTCCTCTGTCTTTTGCCGCCACCTCCTGGCATAACAATGTAACTGCACTGACTGACAGCCTGTGTAAAATGAATGCAGAGACAAGTCCCTGTACTAACACTGCTGAAATGTCAACAAAACTGAAAGCCTCTTGTCCAGTCAGATTCGGGAATCGGAACATACCATTACATTACGTATTTCATGGCACACTCGTTTTATGCGTATTTGGCGTCACCTATTGTTGTGGGTGTAATTATTGACATGTCAAAGTCTAGACCCTGAATATAAGACGACCGTGTTTTTTCAGATGTATTTCCAAGAAAAAAACATTGTCTTATATTCGGGACAATACGGTACTATTATACATATATTAATATACCAATGAGCTTAATTATGTAGATAGATGGATAAATAAATAAACAAATGGTGATAATATTGCATATTGCAATATTGAGCCACTCAAAATCAACGCAAGGGAAATTTCTTCACCCTGTTTGCTATTTAATATTTTTGTGGAAACCATGATAAACTACCAATCAGAAGTTTAGGGTAAGATAAAAAAAAAAAGACAGAAATATTACTTCAAGGACCCATTAAATTGATCAAATGTGACAGTAAAGACTAAAGATTTATAATGTTAAAAAAAGATTTTTATTTCAAATAAATGCTGCTCTTTTGAGCTTTATATTTGTCAAAGAGTAATGAAAAAAGAAAAAAAAAACATTGTCTCCTTTTTTAAAGGGATGTATCAAATAGGCTATAGATGTATTTTTTTTTTACTTATGCAGCTTTAGTTTGTACACATAACAGAACTTCACCTAGCATGTGATGAATGGGTGCTTACTGGCTTCTCTGGTTTTTCATAGGGAACATCTTGTTGAACATCATGGTGCCCTCTTCCATGCCCTGCTCACGAACTGGCAAAAACAACATGATGGTGGTGTGTGTGCCAAACCCTCCTGTGGATGACAAGAACCCCAGCACGCCCGTCCCAGTGCTCATACGCGTGAAAACAGCAGAGGACGCAGATGAGCTGCATCGAATCCTGCAAGAGAAAAAAGCCTAAAGCCTCATCCCCCGTCTCATATGTGTTTGACTGAATGTGGCTCGTACGACCCCAGTTACACAACACACACACACACACATTTACTCTCTGTCTGATCTAGAACTGTTCGGTTACGTCCTGTAAATCGTCTAGAGTGACGGAAACCAATTGGTTCACCTACTGTGAAATCACTCGTGGTCCTACTGTAAATGCTGTTCATTGTATCAGAGATGGTTGAGAAAAGTCGATCGATAATGACGACAGCCACATTTGTTATAGCAAAGACACGAGTCCGTATTCATAGACATTCCTTTGGGTTTTAATTTAGCTGCTATTTAAGGAATTATTCGAGGTTTAGACAGCCGACTGTTTTACAAGGATCGTTTTGTTGATTTGTTTTTAATTCTGTGACTCGATTTTCAAGACAAGTATGGAGAAGATCAGTTCTGTACAGTTTTCTATGCTTGCAGGAGGAATTGTTTAGAGTTCAGTATTACATTGAAGATCTTGAAATTGATTTGCTTCAAATATCTTTTGGAGAACAAAATATGCATCAGAAGATTTCCACTGCTTTAATCAAAAGTAATTCCTCACAGTCCTTCATATGAGGAAGTGATCAGATAGACCTAGTTATTTTATATATATATATATATATATCATTTTCTCGCAGTACTTTTCTGTGATGGTATTTATTTTGGATTATGGCACGTGTGGATGTTGTTTTCTGTATATTGAATGACCTGATGTATATAAACCACAGAACTGCTGAGGTTGAGAATGAATGCTTTATGGCAATCTGTCCTGAAGATGATCTCCCGAAGTTTTTTTTTTTTCCTTTCCCCTGTAAGTGGCCTTTTACTGCCTTATACGATGAGGTATGTGTTTTTAAGTGTTGAGCAGCACTAGATCTACCTTACATTAATTCAGTGGTGAATAAATCATATGAACCCGACATGATTGGTTTCATTTCCAGTACACGCATGATGTAAATCACATTTTTGTACAAATGGGTATCCTACTTGCTGACTTAAAGATTAAAAATAGTGTTATAATTGACCATCTGTTGTATTTTTTCATTTATTTTAGAAAAATGCCCTTTTTATTTTAATGACACAACCTTCTGCCTTCACCCTTACCATGTGATACTCCCTTCTAGTTAGAAGAGTGGATCTACTTACTACTAGTACTAAACAGTAGTTTGCACAAAAATAAATTGTCATCTCAAATCATTTACTCACTCTCATTTCATTCCAAACCTGTGAAACAAAAGACAGTTTGATGAAACATTTTGGTGATCACTGACTTTCATTGTATGGACAAAAAAATTATCTTTTGTGTTACACAGAAGAAAGTAAGTACGGTTTAGAACAACATGAGGGCTATCAAATAACAGGTTTATATTTTTGGGTGAACTCTCCCTCTGCTACCCTGTTACTCATTCTGGCCTAAATATCAGTATACCATTTAGATGTAAATATCAGTAATAAGGTTGCAAACCTCATTAAATAGGTAGAATGATTAATTTAACATATTTTGTGTTCTTGTCCATTGGTTTATGTATTTCCGTGTCCATGTATTTAACGGATAAACAATATATTCTAATGGTTAAGCACCTACTTTATACTGAATTTAAATAACTGTCAATGTACTAAGACAGCTGATGATTTGTGTTTAATCAAACATCAAGAAGATTCTATTCAAGTGCTGCCCCCTTTTAAGAGTTTGAACTGGAAGCACTGAATAATCCACTCCATATCACAAACTTGAATTAAGAGGCCCTTGAGTTCTGAATCGGATTCAGGATGATTTAATACCACTGATTTTCAAAATGTATACAAACCAGGGCCTGGCACACTGCTGTATTTCTATTGTTTGTAAACAGTGAAAGGTGCTTCACCTTTTAAAAATGTCAAAAAGGTGGCCATATGGGACTTTTTTTATATATATACATTTTCTAGCAATAAATTACAGAATTAAAATCAAACATATGAAATTAAAAGATAAATAGAACTGATAAAGTGACAAATCAATGTTTTCAAGTAGTGGCACACTAGTTTTGGACCAACAATGTTCAACATTTCCTTTAAATTAAAGGGATACTCCACCCCAAAATGAAAATTTTGTCGTTAATCACTTACCCCCATGTCGTTCCAAACCCGTAAAAGCTTAGTTCGTCTTTGGAACACAATTTAAGATATTTTGGTTGAAAACTGGGAGGCTTGTGACTGTCCGATTGACTGCCAAGTAAATTACGCTGTCAATGTCCAGAAAAGTATGAAAGACATCGTCAGAATAGTCCATCTGCCATCAGTGGTTCAACCGTAACGTTATGAAGCGACGAGAATACTTTTTGTACGCGAAAAAAACTAAAATAACGACTTTTATTATATTAAATAACGACCGCATCACCATAGCGCCATTTTGGAGAATATTCACTGAACGCAAGCAGCATACGACAGACATAGAGGAGACGAATTGTTGAATAAAGTCGTTATTTTTGTTTTCTTCGCGTACAAAAAGTATTCTGGTCGCTTCATAACGTTACGGTTGAACCGCTGATGGCAGATGGACTATTCTGACGGTGTCTTTCATACTTTTCTAGACCTTGACAGTGTAATTTACTAAGCAGTCAATGTGACCGTCACAAGCCTCCCGGTTTTCATCCAAAATATCTTAAATTGTGTTCCGAAGACGAACGAAGCTTTTACGGGTTTGGAACGACATGGGGGTAAGTGATTAACGACAAAATTTTCATTTTGGGGTGGAGTATCCCTTTAAGTTTATGTATTTGCATTTAAAATGTTTTGTAATCATTTAAAACACTTAGTTGTAAATATATTTATTTGTAAATTTAAATATTTGTAAAAGGGGAAATCCTGCAGTAACATGCAAAATGTGGGAGACAGCAATATTGTGTTTTTGGTAATGATTCATTTTAAAATAATTTTCAATACAACAAATCAGTTCAATAGATTGATGTTGAATTTGATGTGATTTTGCAATGGTTTAACACAGCTGAATGTTGCAGACTGTGTGCACAAACAGAACTATCTAAATGACTTCACATTATTTAGAGTTGGCAGTTTGTGAATTCTATGTGAAAACAATTTATATTGCGTTGTCATTACTGTCTGTATGCAGAAAACATACAGCATTATGTGCTGTCCAATTTGTTCTGTGTGGTTGTTTTAAAAGAATCAGTCGAACCTGCTGGTGAATCCAACTGAGTCAAACACTGGAGTCATCAGCCTGAATCATGGACTGAACCCACAATGTTAAAAAATGCAAATTTGTATAATTAGTGAAACTTAGTAGTAACTGTAGTAAAACTGTAGTAAAATCACTACATAAATACAATACATAGATACATATATATGTACAGAGCTGGGTAGATTACTTACAAATTGTAATCCGTTACTGATTATACATTATATTATGAAAATTGTAGTTAGTCTCATAATCTAAGGTACTCATTTTAGGTAGGTTAATGTATTCTTCTGACTACTTTTTAGATTTAGATTTAGACTTTTAGATTACTTTTTATCTAACTTGTTTTAAACTTACCATTGAATGTATACCATATTGATATAAAAAAGCAAAGAGAAATAAAATAATATATTCCTTTTTTTTCCCCCCAACATCATAAAATGCATTAAACATTACATTAAACCAGATTTCCCAAACTGGGCTTAATATAAGAACTGCAGTGGGATGGTGAGTTGATAAAAGGCTAATAATTAATTAAACACTACAAATAGAAATATTTCATTTGTTTACCTGTATGTCAGTGTGACCATTAAGCGATGTCAAACTGTAGCATGTGAATGTGTTGTTAAATTATTGAACTATTAACTTCCTCAGAGATATTTCATAAATTATTTAATGTCAAAGTGGTTTTGGCTGACAAAACGTTTGGGAATCCATTTAAAAGAACTATGGAGAATCGATAAATTATGAATGATTTACTGCCATTGTGTGAATCATATGTAATCATGTAATCCATAAAAAGTAACTGTTACAGTTTATAATGCTAATAATCAGATTACACTCTAATTACGAGTTCTTGATTTTTGGAATCTGATTACGTAATCCAGATTGCATGTAATCAGTTACTACCCAGCTCTGCATTAACCCAACCACTCATTCATCGGTTGACCAGATCAATGACATCTAGCGGTATGACCAAAGCCGCTTTAAGGCTTTTTTTCTTTATCAATAATAGCACCATCTGTTTTGCCCAGCAAATCTTCCTTTACTGAAATTTTGTAATGTAGCGAGTTCAACACAAGCTTCGAAACACAGATTCAAAACAAAAGATTTGTCAAGTCACCTTTATTCATATAGTGCTTTATACAATACAAATTGTGTCAAAGCAGCTTTACAGTGTCAAACAGGAAAGTCGTTTCTCAATAATGCAAGAGGACAATAACAAACAGTCAATCTTTCAGTTAAAGTCAGTACAATGATGATTCAGTGATGTCATCGTCCAGCTCAGTTCAGCTCTCTTCCAGTAGTGTCTGTGCAATCAAGCCTATATTGCCAGAAATTGTGTCCCCAACTAAGCAAGTCAAAGGCGACAGTGGCAAGGAACCAAAACGGAGACAGAAATGGAGGAAAAAAACCTTGGGAAAAACCAGGCTCAGTCGGGGGGCTAGTTCTCCTCTGGCCTGGCGAAACCAGCATGGTGTAATTAGCAAGATTTTAAAATGTATTCGTTGTTCAATAGGGAGCCAGTGCTGGTTCTAGTAAGAACTCAAACTCCAGCTGGTCCAAAAAGCAGCAGCTAGTTTATTAAGCGCACAGAGCAACCACCCAATAAAGCATTACAATAATCTAACCTTGAGGTCATGAAAGCACGAATTAACGTTTCTGCATTTGACATTTATATTTTTAAGAAACAATGCGGTTTTACAAATGCTAGAAACATCGTTTTCAAAGGAAAGACTGCTATCAAATAGCACACCTAGGTTACTAACTGATGACGAAGAATTAACAGAGCAGCCAACAAGTGTTAGACAGTGTTTTAGGTTATTACATGCTTCATGAAGCTGTCAGTGTGTCGAAAGCGCCCATCACTAATCTACAGTACACAACCAGTAAGAGGATTTAGTTTTGTAAGTTTTGTTGCAGTACATGGTATGTTCATTTATGAATTACATTTACATTACATTGTCATTTAGCAGATGCTTTTATCCCAAGCAACTTACAAATGAGAACAATGGAAGCAATCAAAATCAACAAGAGAGCAATGATATGCAAGTGCTATAACAAGTCTCAGTTTAACACAGTACACGTAGCAAGGTTTTTTTTTTATTATTATATAACAAATAAAAAGAAAACAGATAGAATAGAAAGAGAATAGAGCAAGCTAGTGTTAGAGGCCTTTTTTTTTTGCTTTTGTTAATTGTATAATAAATAAAAAGAAAACAAATAGATAGAATAAAAAAAAAAACACTAGCTTCTCTAATCTTTTTGTAAGAAAACAAGCAGTTAGTTAATGAATAGAGTGCAAGTCTAAAGGGGCAAGGTTTTTTTTTTTTTTAAAGAATAACTCCAAGGTTTCTGGCTGTTTTTGAATGAGTTATGGTTGATGTGCCTAACTGGATGGTGAAATTGGGATGAAACGATGGGTTTGATGGAACCATAAGCAGTTGCAAGATTGAGTTGAAGGTGATGGTCCTTCATCCAGCAAGAAATGTCTGTTAGACATGCTGAGACGCGAGCAGCTATCGTCGGATCATCAGGATGGAATGAGAGGTAGAGTTGAGTGTCATCAGCATAGCAGTGATATGAGAAGCCATGTTTCTGAATGACAGAACCTAGTGATGCCATGTAGACTAGAACTGGCTGGAAGACCAGCCAAGAGAGCATTGCAATAGTCCAGCCTGGACAGAACAAGGGCTTGAACAAGGAGCATGTTGTGAAGCATGTTCCGAAAGAAAGAGCCTGAATAAAGCAAATCTGCAGGACTGGGCAGTTTTAGCAATGTGGTCTGAGAAAGTCAGCTGATCATCTATCATAACTCCAAGGTTTCTGGCTGTTTTTGAATGAGTTAT